AACAAACCCCTTCTCTATTAAAAAACTCACCAAACCGTATTCAGGAATGCTAACATCTGAAACGGCTGTAGAATACAGCAATAATATTCATTCAACTAGAAGTTTGCAAAGATGATGAAACCAAGAAGATTTAGCATGGTGGAATTCCAAATAACAAGGACCTATATTCCCATTCATATAACAGTGAAGTTCAGAACAGAAAGAACTACAGGATTACCAGTCCATCCAGTAGATTAGTAACTACAAGATACGAACAACACATCANCACCCCCCCCCCCCCCCCCCCCCCCCCAAAAAAAATAAAAAAATAAAAAATTGTCGACTATACATTAGAACAAATAAATTATGCCATGAAAGCAAACAACTTGTCTAAAACATTGGGGATAGTGTTGTGAGTATAAGCCATGACAATGATCCCAGCTGTAATCAACCTTTTACACCTTGGCTTTATACACATGGCACAGGGTGGATGCATAGATGCTTTAGCACCATCGGCGTTTAAAATCCCTGTTGAGCTATTACCTTCCAAACTGGCCCATCTCCCCCTAACAAACTTGTCCAGCCCACCCTAATAGAAATAGAACAGGCAAAAGCTCTTGGGGAACCAATTGAACTTCTTCCCCAGATAGGGAAGAGGAAGAACTTTGACTATTACGACATTTGTTTTCAATATCTTCCATGTATTCTAATTCACTTGTTTTAAAAGCATCTTCAAACAACTCTCTATTTTTTAAGAGTATATTATATCATTTAGAAAGCGCCTATATATTTAGAGAGTTAAAATTTTGAAGCACTCAAACAAGCTCTTTATATTTAACACTTAATTTTACCACTCTCAAAAGATATTCATTATTTTTCTCTACCTTCTATTTTAACAAGCTTTTCTTTAGATTATTTTATGATTTTCCTACATTGAAATTGAAATACTTTAAATGCATTTAATTATTTCTCTAAATTAAAATGTTAATGTAAAGATTCTCTTGGAGCATAGTTTTAAAAGTTGACTCTTTAAAATTGAGAGCATCTCATGTTTAAAAAGTTTCTCGGAGATGCTCTTAAATAATTTTTTCGCCCTCCCTCCGTAAAAGATATCACCTAATTGGCTAAAGCCACTGTGCCGGGGGGTTGTCACCAAAGAATAAACTCCACCTAATTTACATTCTAATACGTGAATATGAATATAAAGAACAAAGTCCTTTTCAATGATGTGAACTATGCAAGGACATTTTCCAATTTGTATCAAACGATACATTGACAGTAAAGTGGGTAGAGCGATAGAAAATTTCAGTCAACAGCAATAGGTAGAAAATGAAAAAAGCAAAATAGAGAATAAATATTTATCAAGAATAAGCTACCTGCTGTTGTCTTTATAGAAGGGAAAAAAACGCTAAGCAGTGGAATTTGATTAACTAATAGTTTATTCTCATCAAAATAATATTATATAGCTAGCATCAGGCAATCGCATATATTTATGAAAAAGACCGAGCACAATTATTTTAACAGCAACACGTGCTGCTTTAAATCTCCCCCTAAAAAAAGGGTAAAGAATAAGACAGAAATTTATACACACATGGTTTATAAATCAACCAAAACTTTTCATCATTATGAAACAAAAAATTACCCTGAAGGATGAGGAAAAACATAAGGATTGCTGGGGTTGGAAACTCCTGTGCTAGATCGGTCCCTGTCATCTCTCAACCCCTTATCAGAACTGCAAACAGAACTCCGCAATCAATACAAACAAAGTAAAGTTGGAATATTTGAATATATTCTCCAAAACCATTTGGACATATGCAATTTAATTAATATATTTAGCACTTTCAGCTTTTACTTGAGCCAAAGAGGTGAAATTTTATTTAAATTAAAACGACCACAATCGTCTGATGCATGTATTAGAAGATATTTGGAGCAATCAATTTACAATAATACAAATAAAATACCTTGATGGTTGAGCAGCCGAACTTGCAGCTGAACCATCCAGTTTAGCCAAGATTTCTTTATCAACATCCGCTATCAGGTTCCTCAAATTCTTGAAACTGTAATTTGAAGCAGCATTCTCTTCAGCATAGTCACTAACACTGGAAAATAACCAAAAACAAAATACCCATTACTAAATGCAGCAAAATTCAATAAAACAACTGCATAATAAGAATCAAACATTTTTTTTCCCTTCTAAGCGAGAACATTTGAACGTACTCGATTTCAAGATGGAGAGGTTCGGAATCACCTTCCTTCAAAGCATCAACAAGAAGTTTATTGTTCATCACTAGACACTTGACTAGAACTTTTTGTGCACCCTGGTCGGGATTAGAGTATACAAATGCATAATTATCGTCAACTTCATTCCAATTCTCAAGTCCCACCTCATCTACAGACCAAAAATTATGTATATTTAACAAAATTCACATAAGGAAACGCAAACAACTCAAATACATACTTTGTATGGAGACCTGAAATTGCCACAGAATTAAACTTGGAATATATTTTGTTCAAAATCAAATTAGGGTTCACGCTCCAAATCTCTCAACGTAACGTCTAATACAATTAGGTAAAAATATATAGAAAAAAATTGCAAAATAACCAAAAAAGGCTTTCTTTATTGTTCAAAGTGCTTACCAGTGGAAGCGGAGGAGAGGACGTCGTTTACAAAGGCGGCGGGACCGGTTGAGTGGAGGATGAAGCCAGCGGAGAGGAAAGAAGCATGGATGGCAAAAGCCACCTTATCGTGTGAATTCCGGAAAGTCGGTCGCGCCGCCCTAATCACCGCCATAACAGAATGCTCCGTCGCCATATTTAATTCTGTACGAGGAGGAGGGGGAGAGGATGTCGATTAAGAAGTAGTTCGAACGTCGGTTGAATATTTGAGAAATCGAATCCTCTGCTTTCTTTTTTCCCAAGCTCGAATATACGAGCAGGAGAAAGGGGCGTTCGTATATGTCTGGAAATGGGAGTTAATTGTGTCAATGGCAATTTAATTTATTTTCATGTCTTTAATTGGTCATTGAAGTTAAAAATGTCGAATTTTGATAATTGAACTTATGTCCATATTTTCGATTGCTCACTGAAGTTTAAAATATCGAATTTTGATCACTATATTTTGATAGAATGTACATTACTAACTGCAAACTTGATATTTTTAAAAATTCAACATTTATGCTAGTGAATAGCAAATGAGATTTTTAAAGTTCATTTGTCAAAAGTCGATATTTTAAATTTCGGTAAACAATTGAAGACATTGACCTAAATTAAGTGACTAAAACTCGATGTTTAAATTTTAGTGACCAATAAAAGACATTGATCTAAGTTCAGTAAACATTGGAACAATTTATTCTGGTTTGGTCACTGAATTTAAGTCTGTTTCTTTGATTGATCATTGAAGTATAAAATATCGAGTTTTAATCACTGAACTTAGGTCAATATTTTTTATTGCTCACCAAAATTTAAAATGTCGAGTTTTGACCATCGAACTTTGAAAAATACCGTACGTTACTCACTAGCATATATGTTGAATTTTAAAAAATATCGAGTTTATAGTTAATAACGTACAATATTTGTCAAAATTCAGTGACCAAAACTCGACATTTTAAATTTCAGCGAGCAATCAAAGACATAGACCTAAGTTCAATGATCAAAACTTGACATTTTAAATATCAGTAACCAATGAAAAGTATAAACCTAAGTTTAGTGACCATAGGAACAATTAATTACTTGAATAAAGAATGATGTGAAACTTTCCTACGTATAATCAAGTTAAAGATAAGATCCACATGATACTATATTATTTGTCCATTTAAAATTCAGTCAATTTTTTATCAAATCTTTTTTTTTTTCCAATCATTTTCGATAAATGCTTATGTACTGTTTTTATGTATAAGTAGCAAAATTTTAATGGGAATTGTGTATTTTATATAGTTTAGATAAAAATTAAATTTTTAATTTAAAAAAATGAAATGTGTGATCAATATTATTTGACTTAAATTTTGATTTAGCTTTTCAATTAAATCAAATAAAGGACAAATAGCACAGGATTTCGAACCTTTAAACGATGGGTTCTCAATCTTTTATTTATAGCCCTCTAGGTCCCTAACTTTCAAAACTATGTGAATGTAACCTTCATAATAATATACTTCACATAAGCGTTGCATCCCCAAATTCTCATTTGAGAAAGGATTTTTTCCTCTCCACATTTTACATGCCAATTTAGATGAGACATGATTTAATTAAGTATATAAAAGACAATATCAAGTACACATTCCAAAATTAGGTAAATAAAAAATAGTTTGATGTGTTAATGAACATCTAGAAATTCTTAGCCGAGCATACTTTTAGATTGTTAATTAAAAAGAATGGTAAAATTGGTTTTTTAAGTTTTATATAAATTGGTAGATGGTTTTCAAACATTACAAAGTTTTTATATTGGCAACCAAAATATGCACTTCTATTAATTGGCACCAGCGGCAGTATGTTAGAATGCTAGATGGGGGTCTATCAGACCAAACCATATATTGAAAATGAGAGAGTTCTAATAAAGCTAACAGATCAAGAAATAATATTTCAATTATTTGTTGAAAGATATCAATTCGTAGAACCGTTGATAAAAGAAAGAGATGCTGCATGAACAATTTATTTGCATCCCAACGAATAGTGGCCAAACGCACCCTCCTGAGGATTGGTGCTGTCATGTGGAGATTTTAAACCAAAAACTCAAAATCTTTTTACCTGAGGTTAATGGTGCAAGGCTAACAGGTCAGGAACCAGTGTAGTTTTCCTTTTTCAGCACGTGGAGCTCCATTTTCTTGACCCGAATAACAGATTTTAGAGTCCTCAGCCTTGGGTGCTTCAGAAGGGCTCGAGAATGGGGCAGCAACGGAGTTAACCATTTTACG